TCAGTGGACGCCGCATGAGACTGTTCCCCGTTAGCATCTGCTTGTAGGCAGAGGCTGGCTAGCTACATATCACCTTTGCTAGTGCAGTGCAGGGATGCTCAAGCAGGGTGTTGTGGCACCCTGGAGCTCTGTGGGATCCTGTTAAGGATGCTACAGGGTGCTACACAATATTAGCACTGTTACGTGTGGAAACACCTACGCAGGATTTGCCAGTAGGAATTCAGAGGGTCTTCTATGGTCTGTCTTAGGTTTTTGCAACAGAAGAATTGCTCTGTTATTTTCTGCACACAAGAAATGAGTGAAAGCGAAGAGCTGGCATTTTCCGAGGGGCTCCTTGAGTCGAACAAGGTTGAGGACCACTGCTGTAGCATCTGAGCACCTAACGAGCCGGAGAGGTAGGGCAATGTTATGATTCCCCTTGGTAAAGTGATGATCCAGGGCACAGAGACCCTAAGGGCTGGTCTACACGGCCATGGCAGTCCTGGCTGTGGTGAAGAGGCGAAGTGCCCGCTCACCCCTGCCTCACGTAGGCCGACTCCCAGAAAGGAGGCAATGTGACTGCCTTCCAGAGGCTCAGAGTTTGCGTGCAGCCCTCCTTTTTGGGGTATCCCCTGTGTGCTATTGGTGCATGTTGTACAAGGTAGGCAGGGCATGCTTCATGGTGGCCACCTTGGCACACCATGGAAGAGCGCAGACTAGCCATAAGGGACTTATCCATGGTCCTAGAGGAAGCCTTTGCATGGTGCATGGATACCAAGCCAGCTCTTCCAAGTGCTAGATTGGTGCCCGACCTCCTAGACCACTCCTCTTCCTGCCCCAGTGATGGGTCCACATTGACCGGTGTCCAGGCAGCCTCGTCTTTCTCGGTGCTTCTGGCAGCAGTGAGGATCAAGCCGGCGGTTTAGCCGAGCCGCCAACCCTCTCATTTGCTTTCCCTGTGCAATTCAGGGTGGATCTCTCCCCCCCCCACCGCTTCTTTATGCTCAGATCAGCCTGCCTTAGCTCATGTCTCCGGCGTCTTCATTAGATACTCCCTGTGGGGGTGAGAAGGCAAACGCTCCAGCTTTTAGTTCGCTCTTTCGGTGCGCATAACCCCAGTCAGGCAAAGAGTGAAACTATTTGCCTTGGGCTCAGCGTGATTTTTTTTTTTCCCCAGTCTCATTTGCTTTTGCAAATGTCCTTACCAGGAGTCTTTGGAGAGTTGCTCTTCATTTCCAAGGGAAGAGAGGAGGGATCCAAGTTCAGGTGGAGGGAGACCAGTAAACCCCCATTGATTTGAGGGAGACTGGGGACCTGAGTAGCCAGGCTGCAGATCATTGGGCTGGCCATCAATATGAACAGCGGAGTGGTCCATAGCCTTTAGGAAGCAATGGCTTTTGTCACTCGCATCTCCCACTGAACAGGACGGGGATGGAGGACTGGTTGGTTCAGGTTGGCAGTGGCCTACGGTTATCTCCCTCTCTGATGCTGTGATGATGACTGCTAATGGCTGGAGGCTGTGCCCATCTGACGATGTGTTTTGTGTGGAAGGAGTTCAGCTCAGTTCCTAGTGGGGTCACCATTGCAACTGGTTTTAACTGGCATCATTGCACCCAAGCCCAACGAAGAGGACAGGGGCTTGCTGCACCATGGAAAACAAGCAAGTGGTTCATTTCTGATGGAAAGCTCTGCTCCTACCTGTTGCACCGACGCGTGCAGTGCTTCTAGCCTGGAGGTGCCGGGTCTGAAAGCATGGGTAAGGCCACCGCAATGGTCAACTGAACCAGGCTGGCCAGTTAAACCAGATTCAGCTCAAGCTTGAGGCCTGCTGACCTACAGCAATTCCTGGTCTTCTACGTTTTGAGTACGAGTCACGTTTAAACCCCTCATCCCTTCTATTGATGGTAAACCTGTTGGGGATGGATTCTGCCCCCCCAGTTACATGCACAGAAATCCAGGTTTAGCATAAATTGCACCCCAAGGGGACTGACAGCAGATCCCAGCTCTTAACTTGCAGAGTTTTTTTACTTGGGAGGCCGGGGCTCGAATTAACAACCGTTCCGTGACTCATTCTGCATCGGGAGGTCAGCGGGGTGGAAAAGAGGTGGCGTTGTCTCGTCTAGACTGGTCTTTTCCACATTTGGGACAGGGTAGGTGTTGAATCTGGTGATGGTGATCCCCAAATATTCCTTCTCTTCCAGTTTGTCTTGCACCGAGCCACGATGGTGGTACGGGGATCTCTCCGCAGCATAACGGGGAACAGATTCCTGAATGAATAGCGCCGTCTTACCTGCTGCTGTTCTGACTTGTTACCGCTTGTGTCCTGACTGACTAAGGAGAATAATCAATCTCTGTCGGCCTTCACATATTTGTCAGCTTCTCTGTTGTCAGACTCTCTCTGTACTTAGCGCCTCCCAATTCCCTTGGCTTTCTCTGCTCCAAGCTTAATGTGTAGCCCTTGCTTTCTCCTTGATTGCTTCCAGTCTGCTCCTCCCAGTATTAAAGCTTTGAGGGCTTTTTTTTTTTTTAATACCAGGCATATCTTTTGGGACATCCCAGCACTGCTTTATTCCAGTGCTACAAGCGCCTCTCTGTTGACACAGTAACTTCATTTGAATTGATCTTGTTTGCTCATTAGTTGATTGCAGCAATTGGAATAAATTACCCTGATTATTATAAATACTTGCAGGTCTCCAGTGGCCCCCAGCTGCATCAACAGGATGAGTGCAAAGTGGAAACGTTAGCGGGCCTGTTTCTGGGTGAGATGCTCACTATTACTACAGCCAAACATTTGACATTTTTGCGTCTATCTAAGGTTTCGCCTTGCCCTCCGTCACCGAAGCGTCGGAGTAGTTTGTAGATAAGAGTGGAATTATCTTCGGGGCAGCTCTGCGGTGGAAGGGGTTATTATCCCTAATTTACAGGGGGGAGTAAGTTCTCTGTGGTCCGTCCACATTTGCTTTGCTCCTTTGGCACAATCAGGATTTGACAACGGGACCATCTGTGTTCCTGCCCCTGGACAGCTTGATCTAAGGGTATGACTGAACAGGAAAACAAAGGTGCAATTGCAATGTGTGCTTAGGTTCAAGTAAAGGAGCTGCCATCTTTTTAAGGCTGAGACCCACTGCTATAGCTGGTAGAGCACGGGACTGGGCATTTCGATATGGGTTCTCTTTCTAGCTCTGCCAATGCCCTGCTATGAGCTTAGGTCTACTATGTGAGCTCTGAGTCGCCTTCACTTTGTTTCCTCCATGGCTATAAACACTGGGATAAACCCTTTTATCCCAGGACAAAGTGCAATTGTAGACCTCTGTGTCCCAGGATAAATCTTAAAAATAAATTCTGGGATAAGGGGTAGTAACAAGAATATTGCAAAGCTCACCTGTACAGTTATCCCAGGATTGCATCGAGTTGATGACAGAAAAGCAGCACTGTTTTCATCGCTAACTAAACCCTCATCAGAGGTATACATGCCAATCCCAGGTTATTTTTGTTCCAGGAGAAACACAGGCACAGTTTCTCCAGGGATAAAGGCAACATCTGTTCCTAGCCCATGTGTCTGCATGGCTTACCCTGAGCTGAAGCTGTTAAGGGCAGGGGCAGGCATGACTTGTCCTTGGTGAATCCATGTTGACTGCTCCTCATCGCCGCCTTCTCCAAGTGCATTCCTGGAGAACCTGCTCGATGAACTTTTCTAGGGACAGAGGTGAGGCCGACTGGTCTGCAGTTCCCTGGATCCTCCTTCTTCCCTTTCTCAGGCTCAGTTTGTGCCTTAACCCGTTTCCCCTAGCTGGGCCTGCATGGCTGCTTCCAGTGCTAATTGTGGAAGGAGATGGCTTTGCTGCTGCCAAAGCAACAGAATGATGCTGTAGCCTTTGTGATCTGTAAACGCCTCCAGGAAAAGCCATGAACGCCATCAGGGGTCTAAAGGGATTGATTTACGAGGAGCTGCATGCGTTCAACCTGTCTAAGCGACGACTGGTGAGCCGCGATGGGATTTGATAAGCCTCCAAGTAGTCAGCAGGTGTAAACGCCACGGAGCAAAGATGAATTGTCTACTGTCACGGCTAAGAAAAATGGGATGGGATCAAGAGAGAAAGAAGTGAAGCTGAAATCCCCCGGTTGGGAGCTGGAATCAGGCGGGGAATAATTCCCCTAGAGAGATGGTAGGAGCCGTGTTGTACGGGGCCCTCTAGACCTGGATGGGGCCAATTCCCTGGAGAACCTCCTGGAGAGAAACTTCCCTGCGTGTCCCTTGCAGCAGTGGACAGGATGATCTGGTTGTCCTCCATGCCTAATTTCTGAGACAGGGGGAGAGGTGTAGAGTGAGAACCATGCTTGCATTCGGAGATGGCTTGATGGCTAATGGCAAAGCAGCGATAACTTTTTTTTTTTTAAAGCTCAATATTAAGTGTTCACCGGTTTCCCAGAAAGCACTTCGACCTTTTCTATTCCCTGGTAAGGAAAAAGCCGCATCTGCTGCTGCACTACTCGGGTGATTCTCCATTAGCAAATAGCTGAGAGAATGGACTTGCATTGTTGCCCCTGCTGACCTTTCTATGCAAGCTCATAGACGGACGGCACTAGGCATATTTAGCTTGGAGGAAAGAGGATGAACAGCCTGTCATTTGGATTAGGTCAGCCCTGAGGGGCCCTCCAGCCCTAGCATTTCATGGCCTGAGAACCAGTACTCCTAGGCGGGAAGGAACAAGGTAGCCGTGTCCCAGAAAGATGCAAAGATGAATGGGATTGAGGGTGATCATGTCTTAGCCGGTCCCCACTTGCGGGTCATGCTGTTGGCACTGAGCCCTGTCGTTGTGAACAGATGTAGCTAACACTATAACCGTGCATAATTCCTGTGTATCTCGATAGAGATGGACATCAGGAGCCAAAGTTACTGTTGAAAATTAGACTTGCGCTGCTAAATCGCTGCAGAGCCTTTTGAAAATGTTACCTATTTTGCTTACAAGTCCTACTGGGCCAGCTTAGTATTGAGGTCTAAATAATGGCATTTCTTGTAGCTAGATGATTGGGAAACCAGATGTCTCTGTGTTCAACACCGTTCCAGATGGGCCGTGGCTCCTGGCAAACAAGGGAGCTGCAACTGGGACTGGAGCTGAGTGGGAGCCCGGTCATTTGTGTCTGCAACTGGACCTGGAGAGGGAATCGATGGAAAACCCAGCTCAGAAGGGCCTCGCTGTACAGGAACGTGCACACCCCGAAAAAGTCAAGTGTTTTACACTCTGTCATTACATTGGAAATGGCTTGTAATGGTGTCAGAGATCGGGTTCGTATACAATAGTTAATTTTGCTGCATCCTGTATGGAAGATATTCCAGTTTGTACTAACCTGCCAGTCACTGAGAAGTCAGTCCCCTTCTCGCCTGTGCATTTTGGCTGCTGTACAGTAACGTAAGTGATATAGAAATACATGATCCAGGTCATTAATATTAACCTAGGCTTTGCTAGGAGAGCCGAGGAAGCCAGACTTTTAGACCTGACTGTTATACCTGGTAAGGGCTTGCTCCTTCTGGCTTGGAAATTGGTGACAAATCTCCCGTGGACTTCAGCAGCGTAAGATCCTAGGCTAGGTAGAAACCTCCTCTAATGCTGTTTAAGGCCAGAAGGGACTACTAGAGCTGAGGTTTTCAACACCTGGTCTGCAGACCAAAGGTGGCCCACAAGGCCAAGCTTCCTGACCTGTGAGGAGCCCCAAGAGCCAGGTGATAATGGCCCTATGAGCTAGATCATCCTGGGGCATGGTAGAGTTGGCATGTGGGGTCACTGCAGCTGGATCTCATGTCTTGGGTTGGGCTGGTCTGTGGGCAGATCTCATGCCTGCAAACCAGACCTGTGCCTCTTCTCCAGTCCCCAGGGCTGGCAGGTTTAGCACCACTAAGCTAGATGGATCAGGCTATTTAAATCTCCCACCCTAAGCACAGATTCAACAGATTCTGCGGATTCTGCTGCATACTTTGTCACAAGGACACGAAAAAGGAAAGGGCCATAAGCACCTTCTTCAGAGCTTGAACCATTCTGCACCGTCTCCCAAACTGGAACATCCTTTTGCACGAGCAGACAACAGCCCCAGTGCTGTTTATGGTGCATTTTCACTATGTCTCTTCACTACTGTATTCACAGGGATAGGTTGTAGCCATGTTGGTCTAAGGACACAAGCAGACAAGGTTCTTTGGGTGAATCTGATATCTTTTATTAGACCAGCTCAAATAGATGGAAAAATTCTTTGCAAGCTTTCGGATGCTTTCTCAGCTTGATGGAGGGTATTTAAACCTGAAAGTCTGCAAAGAAGAATTTTTCCAACTATTTGAGTTGGTCTAATAAAGACATCAGATTTACCCGAAGAACCTTGTCTGCCACTACTCTATTTACCCATCCAAGGGTCTCATCAGCCCTTTTTCCTAAAGCAACCAGCTTTCAGGAACCAAAACTGGGGCACAGTCCCAGACGCTCTGGGGGCCTCTGGAAAGAGAAGTAGCTTATACAGCTTGCTTTTCTTGGTTAGCAATACCACCTGAGTGCATGCAGCCTAATTAGCACCGTGGAGAGACAGAGCTAGCTAACTTGGGCTCAGCTTGGCATGGACACAGCCGAATTGTGCATCTCTCCCAGATAGAAAGCAACCAGATGCAGTCTACCTGCATTCACGCAGCACCAAGGAGCATCGTGTCCTCTCAGTAGATGCTACAGGAAGCCGTCTGGAGCTAGAGTATCATTCAGGGACCAGCCCAGGACCAGCTTCTCCTATTTCAGGAGTTTCTCTGAGAGGCAGCATCTCCAAAATGCTGGACTGGCCCAGAAAAGTCCAGACAGTTGGTCGCTAACTTTTTGCCGCCATATGTTGCTGTGATCTCGTATGGCCCAGGCTGAACACGGGTCTTTTCCAGAGTCGCTGAGCTGTAGCCCAGTCTGTTGCATAGACGTCACGGCCACTCCTTCCTGGATGTACGTTTTTGCACTTGGCTGCATTCAATCACAGGTTTGAACTAAGTGGTCCACACCACTCTGCCTGACTGCCCTGTCCTGCCCGCGATTTATGAGTCTGCCATTCTTGGTGCCAGCCACAAGTTTTATCAGCAGTGGCTCTGCTTTAGGTCGCCGGTGGGAATGATGAACAGTATCAAACCTAGCACTGGTGGGACCATGATAGAAACCTTCCCATTCAATAACAACCCCGGTTATGAGATCTGGCAATTAATCCATTCTTAGCTCATTTATCACCTACTTTGTTGATTATTATTAGTTGCTTTCTTTTTTTTTTTAACCAGAACATGTTGCACTACAGTCAGATGCTTTACGTGGATTCACTCCATCTGTGCTATTACCTTTATCAACCACGCTTGTAACCTGCTCGGGTCTTGGCTGAACAAAGCTGATCTTCTGTCTCCCTTAACCCGTGTTGACTGGCATTTAATTATACTCCTTCCCTTTATTTCCTAATTAAATTAATCCTGCCTCGGCTTTTCCGGGGTTTTGCTCAGGACTGAGATCTGACTAAGCAGCCTCTACTGTTCAGTCTCTCCCTGACCATTTCTAGGCACAGCATTGGCACTCCTCCAGTCTTCTGCAATTGTAGCTCTATTCTAGGACTGATTAAATATGAACATCCCCGAGCCAGAGATCCTCTCCGCCAGCTTTGCTGAGGCTCTTGGGTGCAGATTGTTGGGGCCTGCTGGTTTAAAAATGTTTATCTGCAGTCGATGTTGTTTAACATCCTCCTTGGATACTAATGGACTGGAAAATACTTCATCATCCTCATGTGATAGAGGCTTGCCAGCCTAATTCTGTCCACAAGCAGAGTAGAAATATTTTGATGAACATTTCTAGCTCTTCTGCGTTGTTACTGATGGTCTCCTGACCCTCACCACCCAAATTACTGGCCTAAACCGCTACTAGGATTTCTTTTGTTCCTAATATATTTAGCAAATAAAAAAATCTTCCTTCTTACTGTCTTTAACCTTGCTAGCTATGCTTTCTTCCCCCCCAGTTGTCTCTAGCTGCTCATGTCAGCTGCTGGTGTGCAGTTATAGTTCGAGGGTGTTCTTTCTGCGTGAATTCAGGCACGATACCATACGTTACCTATGGGGTTTGGGGAATCTCTGTCATTACAGGTTTTTAAGCGTGAGTTAGACACAGATGATTTTTTTTTCTGCAATGGTCTAGACAGGGCTAATCCTGCCTTGAGCCCTTCCAGCCCTGTTTTGCTGGGATTCTGCACTGAGTATTCATGTCCTGCTGGCACCTATCAGCCCCCGTCACAGTCGAGCTGACGTTGGACTGCGCCCAGCCAAGTGAGTCTCTGCCCAGAGGAGCTTGCAGTTCAAGTAGACAAAGCCGGCCCAGGGTAGGGGAGAGGCAGGATCCTTGTTTGAGTGAGAGAGGAGGGATGTGTAGGGAGATGATGGGCTGAATCTAATCCAGGATTGAGGGACCTGCACAAATTGGAAGACTGGACCAAAAGAAATCTCATGAGGTTCAATAAGAAACCTTACTGAACCTCATAAAATTTCTTTTGGCCCGAAGTCCTGCACTTAGGACTGAACAATCCCATGAACGGGCTGGGGCTGATTGGCTAAGCAGCAGCTCTGCCGAAAAGGACCTGAGGGTTACAGTGGACAATAAGCTGAATATTGGCCCTTCTTGTCAAGAAAGCTAATGGCATCCTGGGCTGCATTGGTAGGAGCGCTGCCAGCAGATGGAGGGAAGTCAGTCCTCCCCTCTACTCAGCTCTGGTGAGGCCACATCTGGAGTCCTGTGTCCAGTTTCGGGCCCAGCACTGCAGAAAGGATGTGGACATATTGGAGAGAGCCTAATGGAGGTCAATGAAAATGTTTGGGGGGCTGGGGGACTGGACTGGTGAGGAGAGGATGAGGGAAATGGGCTGATTTAGTTTAGAGAAGAGAAGACCGAGGGGGATTGAATAGCAGCCTTCACCTCCCTGCAGGGGGGCTGCAAAGAGGACGGAGCTGGACTGTTCTCAGTGGGGGCAGATGACAGGACAAGGAGCAGTGGGCTCAAGCTGCAGCAAGGAAAGTTGAGGTTGGATATTAGGAAAAACATTATGACTAAGAGGGTAGTAAAACACTGGAACAGGTTACCCAGAGAGGTGGTGCAGTCTTCATCCTTGGAGGTGTTTAGGACCCGGCTCGACAAAGCCTTGGCTGGGACGATGGAGTTGGGGCTGGTCCTGCTTGGAGCAGGGGGTGGATTAGATGTAACCTCCTGAGGTCCCCTCCAACCCTCATTATCTGTGATTCTGTGAAAAGGTGAATGCAATTTCAGGCTGCATTAATAGGAGCACTAGGTGTAAGATGCAGGAGGAGATAGTGCCTCTCTACTTGCCACTGGTTAGGCCTCATCTGGAGTATCATGAGCAGTTTTGAGCTCCACATTTTAAAGAAGACATGGAGAAGTTGAAGAAAGTCCAGAGTCAGATGTTAAAGGGCTTCGAAAGCAAGGAGAGGCGGAAGGAAATGGCCATGTTCATCTTGTGGAAGAGGCACTTAAGATGGGACATGGTAGCACTCTTCAAATACCTGAAGGGCTGCCATAAAGAAGAGGGAGAACATTACTGCAGTGAGTGGGACATACACCAATGGCTTGAAAGTGCAGCAAAGTGGGGTTAGATCGGATATCAGGGAAAACTTCACCGTGAGAACAGCGATGCAGTGGAACAGATGCATAGGGAAGTTGTGGAGTCTCCATCATTGGAGGTTTTGGGGAGAAGGTCGGACAAGCACTGGTCAGGGATGATCCAGGAGTGGGCCAGGAGCTCCCACGCGCACACACCTGTGCTCTGGGTTCACCAAAAGATCACGGGAAGAGCTGTGCAGCCCACAGCAGGTGGATATTGGAGAAGATCATGCTCGGCAGCAGGAGCACGAAGCAGAGCTCCACAACCAACTCGGTTATGAAAGATGATGAAAGCAGCCGGGATAAGTTATGGCGGGGATGCAGAAAGGGAAGCTCTGGCTGTCCAGCTGGAAGGTGTGATGAGTGAGGTGCTGCTTGCTGTCCCCAGGTTGCAGAGCAGAACGGAGGGTGTTTGGTTTTTCCTGGGGTTTACGGCTTGCCGCATGAGACCAGGAAGGATTTCTGTTCCCTCCAGTTGTTACAAGCATCAGGGAATTTTTTTCTTTCGCCTTCCTCAGAAGCACTGGATGTTGGCTGCAGTCACCGCCGGGGATTTTGACTGAGGTGTGCCTCTTCTCCTGCCAGGATTAATACCCAGAGGTTCTGGGTTACAGGGTCTTGCCCCTCTGCTCACGGG